CAGATGCAACCGCTAACTCACTCAGCGCTTTCCCCCCCCGCCCCGCAACCTCTCCTCCTCCCCCCCTCCCCTTCACAAGGCCTATCATCAAGCAATGCATTTAAGCATTAAAGAGAAAGCAGAGCGACAGCGCTGCGATCCCACAGCTTCTCAATTCTGTTTCGCCCTGTGTGCAAGAGAGGGCGAGAGAGAGGAGGGAGGGAAAAAAAATGCAAGCCAGTCAGCCTCGGAAGAGCTTCGGCTACTTTCTAACGCTTCCCCCTCGTGTTGTATCTAGTTGGAGACGGGGTCGAGGCGGGTGGGAGGGGGAGGTGATCAGCGATATAGAGAAAAATGAAGAGCAGTACCTCGTACAGATCTCCTGAAGCCATCCCGCTCTGAGACCTGGTCGCTGCCTGCTGCTGTTTCTGGTGTTGCTCTTGTTGTTGTTGTTGTTTTGGCGGCCGGGTACTGAGTGCTCCTTTGCAGGCTGATATACAGGCACACACACATACACACATTCACATACACACACATATATACAGGGGGCTGAGTTAATGCGCAGAATCCGCCGCTAGCGTCTCTCTCTCTCTCTCTCTCTCTCGCTACAGTGTAACAGGAGGAAGTAACAAAACGCCCCATCCAATCCCGCGGCGCCTAACAAACTAGTACGGCCGTCCCCACGTGCGGAAAGGAACAGGACAAGTAGCGAGAGGACAGAGACATTAACACATCCCCAGACATGACTTAGAGACAAAATAAAACACTGCAAGATGCTGGAGTCCAAGGTAGCCAAACAAGAGGCTGGAAGAACACAGCAAGCCAGGTAGCATCTGGAGGAAAGGAGCAGTCAACGTTTCGGGTATTACCCTTCTTCAGGACTTCAGCTAGTACTGTAAACAACTCAAGTTTTCCTCCCCGGACTTCCGAAGTTCTCAGCCCTTTGAGTTGAGCATGTGCTTTGCACATCTGTGGCCTCTGAGGGATATTCAGTCCTGAAGAAGGGTAATATCCGAAACGTTTGACTGCTCCTTTCCTCTGGATATTGCCTGGTTTGCTGTGTTCTTCCAGCCTCCTGTTTGTCTACCCAGGCATGACTTACCTGGCCAGTGTCTCCTCCTCAACACCTGAGATCAGGAGAAAAAAAAATCCTCTTCCAAAAACTAACATCCTCAATGCTGAATACTGCTTTGCAGGGCAAAAAAAACCAAATTTGCTAAAATTGATACATATGCCTGCAAATCACATGCTCTATGGTATGCTGCATGCCAGTGCTTTTTGAGAACAAAAACATTCATGCTTTTTGAAAACAGAAATACGCTTCTGCATGAGCATACTTTCAATGGTATCAACCTGCCACTGCTTTGGAAAACAGATAAAGCATTGCAAACTCTTATTAGAATATGCTTTTGTTTTTTTAAAAAATAATTACAAAACATCCTAACGTTGGGAAAGCAAACATATTCACAATTTTTAATTCAAACATACTTTGCATCAGTATTTTGAAAAGTTATACTCCTAATGGTTATACCAATGTGCCACAATGTTGTAGAAAAAATTCTTACCATTTTTAATTTGAACCACGGACCTGAATGTAAAAATGCATTCAAAATAATTGGCCCTTTCTGTAATAGATGCACTGTCCAACAAATGTATACATGATGGTATGGATATTTGTGATACAACCATGCCCATTTGTACCACAGTATTTGTGAAATAACCATTTTAACAGTGAGTTATCTCGGCAAAAGAAATGGTTATTTGATCAGAAAAGACAAACTGTGTGCAAAGTTTGCCTCAACACTTTAACATTAGGAGAGGAGGGATTCAAGAGTTGGAATTGATGCACCTTGAGACCTAGCAAGCAAATGGTAATGTTTAATAAGTTTCAAATCTATGATCCCTTATGGAGGATGAGACGGTCTTATGTGATAAGCAACTTGCACCCAAGTAAGTCAAACATGTCACACATATTACTGCCGTGTAGTTGCTGGATATGAGAAAAGTCAATGCACATCTACAGCAATGAAAAATGTGACTATTATTGAACTGTGGTGAGTCGTCAACCAATACAAAAATAACTATCAACAACCATCAACCATGAAACATTAACTCTTTTTCTCTCTCCACGGGTGCTGCCTGATCTGCTTAAGTGTCTCAGCACTTTGTGCCACCTTTTTACCAAGACCTAGTGGTGTCAACAAGTCAAGCTTTCCTCCCAGGATTTCTGAAGTTCTCAGTCCTTTGAGTTCAGCATGTGCTTTGCACACCTGTGGCCTCTGAGGGATATTCAGATCCCTTGAGGTACTTTTGTTTTACTCCTGAGTATTGCCTGACTGGTGGCCAAGTCATGAAATTTCACAATGTGATTAGCGGTCTCATTAAGCTTCATAGACCTGCATTCACCCTATGATTTCATACCTGCAGTGCTGCTGTTTTGTGCACAAGTATTAACAGAACAATTTGGCAGTGAAGTCAGGTAGCTATGTGAGAATGCGTACGAGTTACAGGGATGTATTGAAAAGCAACTAAGACAAAATCTTGGGATCTTACAGCTGATTCTGGATTCTAATTTGCTAGTGAGAAGTGGATAGTGGGTGGTGACACATTGGTGACTGGAATGTACATTTTATAGATTGAGAAATGTAGAGGAAAAGCCAAGGCAAAACACCACAAATATTGAGATGTTGAAAGTTCTCTGTACCAAAGACAGGGACTCCCAAAGGCTGTATCCCCTACCTGATGCCATTGTTGAGGACATCTCCTCTTGGCTGGAGATAAACTTGGAGTGGGAGGGAAGGGTCCAAACATTACAGTTCATATAGATACCAATGACATAGATAGGACTAGGAAAGAGGATCTGCTGAGAATTGGCTAAATTAGGAAGCAGAACTACAAAGCTAATAATATCAAGATTACTATCTGAGCAACTTGCACATTGACATAGGTTAAGAAGGATTAGAAAGGTAAATATGTAGCACAAAGATTGATATGGGAAAATGATTCATTGGCTACTGATACCAGTACTGGAGAAAGAGAGAGGGTTTTTTTGGGCTTCATTTGAACGATTCTGGGAACGAGTTTCCTGACAAATTGTCCAACTAAGGTTTTCGATATGGTTATGAACTAATTAATTGGGGGACGGTTCAATTGAAGGAAGTTTTAAAAAATTTAAAAAGCAATAAGATGGCAGAGGTGTAGGCTAGAGAAGAGGTGAATGATAATCAAAATGTGTTTGGAAGAGACAGAAAATATCCACAGAAGGATAATATCAATGCTGTATGAGTAGTGACATAGATGCATTAGATGCATAGAATCAGTTTGGCTGGAAACAAGGTATAGGAAAGAAAGAAGTCACAGGTGGGAGTTGTTTATAGGCCCATGAAGAACCGCCTCACTGTAGGACAAAGTACAAATCGGAAATAATGGCTGCATGTAAAATGTACAATTGTAACGTGTGATGTTAATGTGTATATTAACTGGACAAATCAGATGAGCAGGGGTAACATGGAAGACAACAGTGTAGAGTGCATTTCTTAGATCAGTGTGTTATACAACCTACCTGGGAACAAGCTATTTTGATTTGATTTGGTTTGATTTGATTTGATTGCTGTCATATGTACAGACACACAGTGAAAAGTATTGTTTTGTATGCTATCCAGGTAAATCATACCTTACATAAGTATATCAGGGTAATAGAACAGAATGCAGAGCATAGTGTTACAGCTAGAGAGAAGGTGCAGAAAAAGATCAAATTTAATATATGCAAGCTCCATTCAAAAGTCTTGTAGCAGCTGGGAAGAAGCTGGTCTTGAATCTGTTGGTATGTGTTTTCAAACATTTCTGTCTTCTGCCCAATGAAGAGGGTGGAAGAGAGTATAACTGGGTTGGGAGGGGACTTTGATTATGTTGACTGCTTTCCCAAAGCAGCAGGGAGTATAGATAGAGTCAATGGATGGAAGGCTGGTTTGCTGATGGACTGGGCTGTGTTAACAACTCTCTGTAATTTCTTGCAGTCTTGGGCAGAGCAGTTTTAGCTCTAGTAATGTGTAATGACAGAGGATTGATAAGAGATCTCATAGTTAAAGAGGTAACAATCACAAAGTCAGTTTGAGGGAGAGTTAACTTGGGTCCAAAATCTGTGTCCTCAACTTAAATAAGGGCAATTACAGATATAGGAAGAAAGACTGTCTAGAGTTGCCTGGGAAAATAGACTAAGGGGAAAGTCAGCAGATGAGCAGTGGCAGATAATTAAGCAGATATTTCATATTGCCCAGAAAAAAATTATTCTGGGGTAAAAGAAGGATTTGATGAGAAGGATGAGCCATCCCTGGTTAACAAGGTTCTCAAGGATAGTATCCAGCCAAAAATTAAGGCACACAAAGTGGTAAAAACTGGTGGCCAGCCAGAAGATTGGGAAATTTTTAGGATACAACAGCAAATTATTAAAAAGCTAATAAAAAGGGAGAAAATTGATAATGAAAATAAAATGCCAACAGATATAAAATAAACGGCAAGAGCTTCGAGGGTATATGAAAAGAAAGACAGCAGCTGAAGTGAATGGGGGGACCCTTGGACCATGTGATTAAAGAATTGGTAATGGGGAATATAGAAATGGCAGATAATTTCAACCAAAAGTACACATCAGTCTTTGCAGGAGAACACTGTAAACATCCCAAAGACATCAGAGAAGCAAGGTGCTAATGGGAAGAAATGTGTCTTAATCATCTCTATGACAAGTTAATATGACTAAAGGCAGACAAGTCACCAGGACCTAATGGTTTGCATCCAAAGATTTTAAAAGAAGTGGCTGCAAAGATAGTGGAGGTGTTGGTTGAAATATTACAGAACTCACTGGATTCCAGATGGGTTCCAATGAATTAGAAAACTGCTAATGTGATGCTCCTATTAAAGAAGGGAGGCATGAATCTATAGACCAGTTAGCCCAATATCTGTTGTTGGAAAAATACAAAAGTTCATTATTAAGAAAGAAATAGCAGGACATTGTAAAAAAGTGTAACATAATCAAAGAGGGTCAACATTGTTTGTGAAAGGGAAATCATGTTTACTAGAGTCGTTTGAGGATATAACAAGCAGATTTGGTGAAGGGGAATTGGTAGATGTAGTGTATTTAGATTTCCAGAAGGCACTTAATAATGTGCCACATAAATGGTCTGCATAAGATAGGAGCTCACAATATTGGGAGTAATGAATTAGTATGGATTGAGAACTGACTAATGCTCAGAAGACAAAGAATTGGGGCTAACGTATCTTTTTCAGGTTAGGAAGTCTTAACTAGTGGAGTGCAACAAAGTTCAGTCCTAGGGCCTCAATTAGTTACCATCTACATTAATGTCTTGGAAGAGGAGAAAGTGTGTAGCGAACTTAAATTTGCTGACAACACAAAAATGGGAGGGCATGTTGTGATGTGAATATGAGGAATCTGCAAGGAAATATATGTGGGTTGAGTCAGCAGGACACAAATTTAGCAGATGGAGCTTAATTTAGGAAAGTGTGGGGTCTTACATTTTGGGAGACAAATCAAATGCATACTATTATTTAAATGGATATATTATCCACAAAAGTGTGTTCT